CTGGTAGCAGTAACCACAGACAGTACCAGGAAGTGCATCAATGGAGGATCTGAATGAGGTTTTAGATAAGACTGGGAAAGTGGGTAACGCCCGTAAAAAAACAAAAAAACACTAAAACAGAGCAAATGTCTGTTGGTGTGGCGTCAGGTGTGTGACAAACACACGTGTTTACGTCACGTCATCAGCAGTGAATAAAAGTTTACGTCCAGCTGAGAATCAGAGCGACTCTGATTCACTACCATCTACATGGTGAGTTTTAGAACACAACTGCATTGATACTGATCACGGCATGTTGTCTGTGTGTGTGTGTGTGTGTGTGTGTGTGTGTTGACCTGATTCTGTTAAGAACATATTTGAGCAAAATGTTTTTTGTTTATTCTGCAGTTATTTTGTAGCAATTTATAATTTTGTAACTTCTGTTCTGTTTGTTATTAGAGAAAACACATTTTGCTAAAATTAAAAAGAATTACCCTAGAACCTTGTTGCCATGTTTAAGACATTTTGTTTTTTGTAGAATATAAAGTTAACCTCAGCCTTATCTGCTTTGGGCTAACTTCTAACTATTGCTGCCCTCTGTTGGCTACCTTTTAAAGCATTTTCAGATAATGTCAATAAATCTATGTTTGTGTGATTTGCATTTGCTCAAATGTTTGTCGTGCTTTTACTCTTGATTGTGTAGTTTATTTGGCTGATTAAACTTTTGTGTATGACTTGTGACTTTTTATTTAACCTGAATAAAAAAAAACCTGTAATAACATGACTTTGCTACCTTGTTCACTAACAGTTTACACAAACACTCATGCATAAACACCTGTGACATTTACAGCAGTGGTTATAAAGAAGTTCCAATTGATCTTAGTCTAATTTTCCAGTGAGGATCGAGTAAATGACTTCTAGAACTGATGTTTTGTGATCCTGTGCTCTTGATATTTTATTGATATTCCGTGATATTCATCCATCCATCCATCCATTTTCATGCTTATTAGTTAACGGGTTGTGGGGACAGCAGTCTCCACGACTGCCACCCCAAATTAAACTATACCAGTACATTGTGAACCTTCCTGCGGATGGTGAGTCCACTGGAAGGCGCCAACTGCCCTAACAGGGATTCGAACTGCCCAGGAGGTGAACCCTGTGGTTCCACACCAATGACAGAGACATTGCCTGTGGGCCAAAGCGCCACCCTTGTTGATATTGTTTATTATTGAAATTATTATTGTTATTTTAATGTTTAATTTAATTGAAACAACAAAAAGCTGATGATCAGTTGATGGTTAGAACAGTTATAAAGAGCATTTCTGTGAATTAGTAACTAACCGCCCTAACCGGGACTCCAACCTGCCCAGGAGGTGAACCCTGGGGTTCCACACCAATGACAGAGACATTGCCTCTGGGCCAAAGCCCCACATAGCAAATTGTGGGCTTTGTAAAATGATGACACTCACCAGTGTCCTGGAACCTTTCGCCCTTACTCAGTCTTCATCGGGTCATTGTTCATTGTGTGGTGTTGCAGTGTACCAGTGTTCTGTTCTTACCGCCTAGTTCCTGCTAAGTGTGTATAATAACACACACAGAATAGTAGGGTACCAAGATTTCATTCGTCTTAAATACATTTGCAGTGCGCCACGTTTCAAAGCTCCGCAAATCCTTTTGATGCTGTAGAAGGGCGTAAATCATCCGCCAAGCACTGTTGATTCATCTGCAGCGCAAACGTTTCAAAGCCCCAACCATTCAACCCAAACTGCCCAGCTGACTACATTGGAGCAGTAAAGGCCTCAATACATTTGAGGCAAGCCATCATAGATTGAGATGGTTTGAACATGTGCGGAGGAAGGACAGTGGATACATTGGTAGAAGAATGTTAGAGATGGAGTTACCAGGTAGGAGACAAAGAGGAGATATATGGATGCAGTGAGGGAGGACATGCATATAGTTAAAGTCAGAGTAGAAGAAGGGCAATATGGAAATCAATGATTCCCTGTAGCAACCGCTGAAAAAAGGGACAAAGCCGAAAGAAAAAGAAGAAGATTGTTTGAGAAAAAAGAAGCGACTTATAGTCCTGAAATTGTGGCAATCGTATCCACAGGAAACAACAAATACAGAATATACCATAGACTAGTTAAGTTTTCTGTACAGGACCAACTGTAACACCATCAACAGGAAATAATACTAAGAGCTAGCCGGTAATAGAAACCCAGGCAAGTGTTAGTATAAAAATGGTATTGTTAATTCAGTACCAGAGATCTGGAACATTCCATGAAAGTAGAAGAAATGTCCAGAAACCAGAGACAGAGGAACAATGTCTGCTCTCACCAAAGGACTTTACTTCAAGAACTAGGAACTTTATCTGTACTACAGTGAAAGGAAGAAACCATGTGAGTTCTCAATATAGTAACTGGTAGCAAGAAGCACAGACAGTACCAGGAAGTAAACAAGTGCCTCCTGAACGGGGTTGAATGGGGTTTAGATTGGACTGGGGAAGTGGGTAACGCCCATAAAAAACAAAAAAACACTAAAACAGAGCAAATGTCTGTTGGTGTGGCGTCAGGTGTGTGACAAACACACGTGTTTACGTCACGTCATCAGCAGTGAATAAAAGTTTACGTCCAGCTGAGAATCAGAGCGACTCTGATTCACTGCCATCTACTGTACATGGTGAGTTTTAGAACACAACTGCATTGATACTGATCACTGCATGTTGTGTGTGTGTGTGTGTGTTGACCTGATTCTGTTAAGAACATATTTAAACAAAGTGTGTTTTTAATTCATTCTACAGGTATTTTTATAGCAATTTAATTATTTTGTAACTTCTGTTCTGTGCTTTTTTTTATTAGAAAAAAATATTTAGCTAAAATTAAAGAAGAAAAAAAATGTAATAGAATTAAAATTCATATTGAATCACTACAATCGTTTATATTTATGTATGTTTTAAACAAATTTCCCTTCAATAAATTTGTTTACGAATTTGTTTAGGAGATATAAGAGAAACATATTTATTAAAAATGTGTTTTCAAACAATGTCAATATCAATTGGAAATGTTGAAAATGTAAAAGAAACCTAAACCCAACCCCTGAAAAGGAGCTAAAATGTATAAATGCAATTTTTATATAAGAAAATGTGTAGAATTGTAGATTTTTTTTTTTTTTTTTAGATCAGGAAAGATTTTTTTTTGGTAACCATTCTCACATTTTAAAGTATCCTACATTTGTTTATTCTGCTCCTGTTTATATGCAATTATTCTGTAAATTATTGAGGATACAAAACAAATACAACTACTGCATTGAAAAAAATGGTTTTATTTTTTCAAATGAAACATTGTATTAAGTAAATAAAATAAATTATAAAATATTTAATAACTCAGTTACCCAGACAAAAGCTATTACTTCGTGAACAGGTTTGTGTACTGTAAGTCTAGGTAAAAAATAGATTAAAGAAATAATAAATACTATGTTGTTTTACTCTGAAAAAAAAAATTAATTAAATTGGAGTATTAGTAAAAAATATATTTATTTTATCTTACTTGTAGGATATAAACATTTGGTTTGTGTTAATTTACTCGCCATAACAATAGTACAATAAGCCATATATTTAGAGAGCTTTTTGAACTTTTTGGTTGTTTGATTTGTTCGCAAAAATCCCATTTTTATTTATCTTTGTGCAGCTGTTTTAGTTTGGAGATCCATACAGTTGAATTTGTTGTGATTTTGTTTGTGGTGGGTTTCTATTTAATTTGAAATTCAGCAGTGAAGGGGTTTTACAGAAGAAGAAGACGAAGAGACTGATGAACTCCTCAAACACCTCTCTGATGTCCGTTGACAGAGACGACATCCAAACAGCCATCATCAAAAATGTCATCTCTGTGGTTCTCTGTATCTGCATCAACTACGTCAACAGTACTCTGGTCCACACCTTCAACAAACACCAGGTCACCTACACCTACAGTCAACTGTAGTCATACTGTCTGACCAACATCTACCGTTATGCTGACCTACACCTACAGTCCTACTGACCTACACCTACAGTCATACTGACCTTCACCTACAGGTATACTGACCTACAATTGTGGTAATAGTCACCTACACCTACAGTCATACTGACCTTCACCTACAGTTATACTGACCTACAACTGTAGTAATACTGACTTACACCTACAGTTATAGTAACCTTCACCTACAGGTATACTGATCTACAACTGTAATAATAATGTCCTACACCTACAGTCATACTGACGTGCACCTACAGTCATACTGACCTACACCTACAGTCATACTGTCCTACATACTGAAGTACAGTTACATTACCGTACAACTACAGTTATCCTGACCTACAGAGATGATCCTAACCTCAGCACTGTATCTGTGTCTTGTCACAGGTTTTGAACATGAACCCTCGTTACATCCTTTACATCCACCTGGTCATCAACGACATCATTCTCCTGATCATGTTCACCCTCATCCAGGTCCTGAGTTACATCGTCTTCACCCTCAACGTCTCCCTCTGCATCGTTATGATTCTGATTGGAGTGACTGCGAGCACCAACAACCCTCTAACACTCGCTGTCATGTCGTTGGAGTGTTACGTCGCTGTGTGCTTTCCCTTACGCCACACACAAATCGCCACGGTCAGGAGAGTCCACATAGCCATCGGCATCATATGGCTGCTGAGTTCACTTATAACATTACCTGAATTATTTCTTGCCCTTGCCACAGAATCTAAAGATTTTTTTCATTCCAGAGTTTTCTGCCTCCCAAGCGCTGTTTTCAGACATCCACATTTTAATGAGAAAAAAAAAATTCTGAACCAAGTGTTCCTGGTCCTGGTCTGGCTTACTCTGTTCTACACCTACTTCAAGATCCTAAGTGCTGCTAAAGCTGCGGCTCATGATGCTAAAAAAGCTCGGAACACCGTACTTCTGCACGGCTTCCAGCTGCTACTGTGTATGCTCAGCTACGTTTATGACCTGATCATCAGTGGTCTGTTGTTGCTGTTTCCAAATGCAATCCGAGCCATTCGATTTGCTGTCACCATCTTGGTTCACGTTCTTCCTCGACTCATCAGTCCAGTTGTTTATGGGCTGCGAGACAAGGTTTTTAGGAAACATTTGAAAATGAATCTGTCCTGTAAAAGAAATGCTTGAATTAACTAACAAAATGGCTGCTAAGTTTATATTAGCTCAAATGCTAACATTTGCTAAGCCCTTTGACCTCTACCTTGAAGAGCCCATCTGGGCCCTGAGGGTAATGTGGGCACAATAATGGTAACATGGGTGGGATCAGAAACTAGGCCTGACTCAGAACCCAGTAGACGCCCAGGAAAAGTGATCTGATTCTTGATTTACTTGAGGGTCTCCAGTGCCACCCTTGTTCTGTTCTCTGACCTAGAACCTTGTTGCCATGTTTAAGACATTTTGTTTTGGCTGCTCTTTTTTGTAGAATATAAAGCTAACCTCATGGCGAATTTTTAGCTATTGTTGCCATCTGTCGGCTAGCTTTTAAGAATTTTCAGATAATTAAAATAAAACTATGTTTGAGGGGATGTGCATTTGCTCAAATGTTTGTCTTGCTTTTAATCGTGATTGCGTAGTTCGTTTGGCTGATTTAACTTTTGTGTATGACTTGTGACTCTATTCTTTTAACAGTTTAACCTTTGAAGAAAAAAAAAAACCATACTCACACTGTAATAACGTGACTTTGCTACCCTTGTCGACCAACAGTTCATACCCACACACATGCACACACCCACACTCGTGCACACACTCATGCATAAACACATGTGACATTTACAGCAGTGGTTATAAAGAAGTTCCAATTGATCTCAGTCTCATTTTCCAGTGAGGATCGAGCAAGTGAGTTCTAGAACTGTTGTTTTGTGATTCTGTTCTCTTGATCTTGTACTGTTATTTGTTGTTGTTGATGATTGTTATTGTGATGTTTTATTTCATTGAAACAATAAAAGGTTCTTGATCTGTTGATGGTCAGTTCTAGAATATATTAAAGAACACTTACAATTGTAGGAGTCACTGTGTAATAAATAGTAATGCAATTTAAAAAAATAATGTACAAAAACAAAAACTCAGTTTGTACTGTGTTACAAACTAAAGTGTGTTGAGAATTTGAAAACTAGGTTAAAAGAATAAAGAAAACAGAGTTCAAACAGAGGCTGTTAGTATTATGTTGATAATTATGTTGAAAATTATTTTCATTATTATTTTGATCATTATATTGACAATTATGTTGACTTGACTGATTACTACGTTGACTTTGATGTTACTCTCTTTCAGTGGGCGAGTCAACACTGTTTACTCTGACGTCTGATTCAGACTTTGCTATACATTCTAACAAAGAACATAATTAACAATAATTAAGAACAGAGACAAATTAAATAGGAGAAATCAGAACAGTAATAACAACCTACATTTTCTATTAGATTACAAATACAGATAAATAAGATGTATGTGTTTGTATTCCTACACACATGTAAGTACTCTGAGATATTTGTTGTGTGTTGTATAGTGGACACTTCAATGAAGTAAATCAAATATCTGACATTAATCTAAAAGTACCAAAAGTACCCTGGTTAACTTATGATCTGTAGAATTAAAACAAAAGAGTACCTTATTTTTCCCCACCATGGGGAAATACACAGTGTTTGCAACCTATACAGGGCCATTAGGGATATGTGATTCCTCTGGGGCTCAAACCCAGGACCCTCTGCATGTAAGGCAGACACGTTATGCCTGCGTTATCTGTGCTATTTCTCCAGCTGACACCAACAAATATGACATGATCAAAGTTATTATAATAAATGTGTGTTAAAACACAGGCTATAGCACGAATGTGTTTTATTGTTAAAGTCAAAGATCATTCGAATTTACAACTCTATCTCAAATATTGCACCAAAAGTCAGATTGAATTACTCTTGACTAATTGTACTGCTGTTATAAGTATTTTTAATTGGTTTAATGATTATAAAAACACTAAGGTACAAGATGTGACTAAATTTGTTTGTATTTTTATAATCATTGAAAGTTTCTATAATTGTATTCTGTTGTTTATATTCTATTTTTTATTCTATTCAACAAAAGTCTGCAGGATTGCGTTTCATTCTCTGCAATGTAAAATGATTAAAAAAACTAACAGTTCACTGTGTTTAAAACAATGTCATTTATGAAAATGGAAATGAAAAAAAAAATAAAATAAAATGTTTAATTGTTTCTACTGCTTTCAGACCTAGTTAGGTTTTTAGAAAGAGTTCAGAAAATAAACCACAGGTTTGAGCTTTTAGAATCAAAGTCTGTGAAGAAATGATGGAGTTTGTTTGTTTGGTTTTCTTTTCTTTTACAGCAGTGAAGGGTTTTGAAGAAGAAGAAGAAAAGACCGGAAATGAACTCCTCAAACACCTCTCTGACGACCGTTGACAGAGACAACATCCAAACAGCCGTCATCAAGAATGTCATCTCGGTGGTTCTCTGTATCTGCATCAACTACGTCAACAGTACTCTGGTCCACACCTTCAACAAACACCAGGTTACCTACACCTTATACTGACCTACTCCTATAGTTTTATTGACCCAAGACTGTAGTCATACAAGCCTACAGCTACAGTCATACTGACCTAAAATTACAGTCATACTGACCTACAACTACAGTTTGACTGACCTACACTAACAGTCATACTGACCTATACCTACAGTCATATTGACCGACAACTGTAGTCATACTCTACCTAAAGCTACAGTCATACTGACCTAAAAATACAGTCATACTGCCCTACAAGTACAGTTATCCTGACCTATGCCTACAGTCATACTGACCTACTCTAACAGTCACACTGACCTACATCTACAATCATATTGACCGACAACTGTAGTCACACTGACCTAAAGCTACAGTCATACTGGCCTAAAAATAGTCATATTTACATAAAACTATAGTTATCCTGACCTACACCTACAGTCATACTCACCTACAATTACAGTCATACTTACCTACAGCTAGAGTTATAGTGACCTACATCTACAGTCACATTGACCTAAAACTACAGTTATCCTGACCTACACCTACAGTCATACTGACCTACAACTACAGTCACACTTACCTACGGCTAGAGTTATACTGACCTATATCTACAGTCACATTGACCTAAAACTACAGTTATCCTGACCTAAAACTGCAGTTATATTTCTACGATAGTAGTGTCAGTAGGGTGCTAAATATTTTGATAGGTTGTGGTACATTAGGAATAATGTCAAAGGGTTGTGTCGAGCTAGTACTGGTGTGGGTACATGTTTACATTTCTAGGAATTAATACTACTGTAACAGCTTCTGTCCTTTACCACAGATTTTGAACATGAACCCTCGTTACATCCTGTACACCAACCTGGTCATCAACGACATCATTCTCCTGACCATGTTCACCCTCATCCAGCTCCTGAGTTACATCGTCTTCACCCTCAACGTCTCCCTCTGCATCGCTTTGATTCTTGTCGCCGTGGCCTCCAGCATCAACAGTCCTCTCACACTTGCTCTTATGGCAATTGAGTGTTACATCGCTGTATGCTTCCCACTCAGACACACACAGGTGTGCACAGTCAGAAAAACCTACGCTGCCATCGGCACCATCTGGTTGCTTAGTGCCCTTTACATCCTATCAGATTTATTTGCTGCTTTGGCTTCAGAATCCCCTGAATTCTTTCAATCCAACCTCTTCTGCTTCGCAGATGCGGTTTTTAGGCAACCGTACCGCAAAAAGAAGATAGAAATATCCAACATCGTTCTAATGGTCCTGGTCTGGCTCATTCTGTTCTACACCTACTTCAAGATCCTCAGTGCTGCTAGAGCTGCGGCTCATGATGCTAAAAAAGCCAGGAACACTGTTCTCCTGCACGGCTTCCAGCTGCTGCTGTGTATGCTCACCTATGTTTATTACGTCATCGTCAAAGGCCTGTTAATGCTGTTCCCTAGAGGAATCCGAGACATTCGATTCAGTGTCACCATATTGGTTCACGTTCTTCCTCGACTCATCAGTCCAGTCATCTACGGGCTGCGAGACAAGACTTTCAGGAAGTACCTGAAAACTCATCTTTTCTGTACAACAAACACTGAGACTCGCCCACAGAAGACGACCTGATAAGTGTTAAGGCAGTATCCTAATTCAGATTCTAAGGCCTATGTCGGCTGTGTCCTAATTCAGATTCTACAGCCTATGTAGGCTGTGTCCTAATTCAGATTTTACAGCCTATGTAGGCAGTGTCCAAATTTAGATTATTCAGATCATGTAGGCAGTGTCCTAATTAGGATTCAACAGTCTACTTAGGTTGTGGCCTAATGCAGATTATACATTTTACGTAGGCTGTGTCCTAGTTCAGATTCTACATCTTATGTAGACTGCAACCTAATTCAGATTCTATCGCCTTTATAGATAGAGTTCTAATTCAGATTCTACAGTCTATGTAAACTGTGTCCTAATTCAGATTCTATAGCCTACATAGGCTGCGGCCTATTTTAGATTCTAAAGTCTACTTAGGCTACGTCCTAGTTCAGATTCTACAGTTTATGTGGGCTGTGACCTAATTCAGATTCTACAATCTATGTGAACTGTGTCCTAATTCAGATTCTATAGCTAATCTAGACTGCGGCCTAATTCAGATTGTACAGTCTCCTTGGGCTGTGTCTGAGTTCAGATCCTACAGTTTATGTGGGCTGTGACCTAATTCAGATTCTACAATCTATGTGAACTGTGTCCTAATTCAGATTCTATAGCTAATCTAGACTGCGGCCTAATTCAGATTGTACAGTCTCCTTGGGCTGTGTCTGAGTTCAGATCCTACAGTTTATGTGGGCTGTGACCTAATTCAGATTCTATAGCTAATCTAGACTGCGGCCTAATTCAGATTGTACAGTCTCCTTGGGCTGTGTCTGAGTTCAGATCCTACAGTTTATGTGGGCTGTGACCTAATTCGAACTCTACAGTCTATGTGAACTGTGTCCTAATTC